CAGTGGCAGCCTCTCAAAGCTGGCAGGGGTCTCCATGTGGCTCTTTTAGCTCCAGGGCTCTAGCATAGCTACATGTATCTCCTCAACAGGAATGTCTCCCAGGGAATGAGCCTGCGTCCTGCCTCCAGCAAGCTATTTATCTCCTTAGCGGCTCCAAATGAGGTTATCAAGCTGCGACCTGATTGACAGGCTAAATTCTACCCCTTCACTCTTAAGTCTCAAATTGACAACAGATAATGTAACTACCACAGATGCCCTGCTCAAAGAAAAGTGACCCAACAAAATGTGGATATCATTAATATCATATGCAAGTAAAATTTTGCTGAAGATGATTTTAAAAGATTTCAGCAGAATATTGACAGAGAGCTGCCAGTAATTCAAGTTGGATTAAGATGAGGCAGTAAAATGAGGGATATTGTTGATGTCATGTGGGTAAGCAGTGAATACAAGAAAGATGGTTACCTGTGTATTATTGACAAAGGCATTCAATTGTATGAAATATATATTATTAAAGGATAGTATTATTGCATAATGGGAAATCCAAAACACTTCATATATATGGAATCTGTATAAGGACCAAGAAGGTAACATGTGATTTATAATCAGAAAAGGTGTGCATCAGAGTTGTATCTTTTCACTACTTATTCCATATGTATGCTGTGCAAATAGTTGAAGAAGCTGGAAAATATGGAAACTGCATTATCAGGATTGGGGGAAGACCTATAAGACTTGCTATATTCAGGGGCACAACTTTACATTTTCTCATGGACCCAGGTGCATTATTAAAAACATTAATTTTTTTAGATAGGTAATCCTTTCCTATGAGGCTCAAATTGCTACCCATGTATCAAGGAACTTCAAAAAGTTCATGGAGCAATGCCATTTTATTTTAATTCCAGCTTTACAGGTTTTTGAGTGCTTCCCCTACCCCCAGTATACACATAAGACATTTTGATTCTTACCACTTTTTTTTTCATTTTCTATCAGCTGCTTTTTGCTGTTAATATGACAATATATATAACACCTGCTTTTCTTAGTGTTTCTAATCCGCTAACTCCTGAGAAGCCACATAACCACGCTTTTTGGGGGTAACAATAGCAATGTTAACTGTTGCTCTGGCTCTCTTCTATTTATAATATGCATAAAATGGACTACTTTGCTCATCAGAGGTATTTTTTTCATTTCCTGTGTTTGGCCTGTATTCCACATAGACAGTGCTGCCAGAGCTTTTTTCATGTTGGGTGAAATATTGCTGTACCCTTAAGGAAACACGAAGAGAAAAACAATTCATATTTGTCCTGAAGAACAAACTGTGGTATTATCATCATTTAACTGTTTTTTGCCTTGTCAAAAAAATGGAAAGGGGATAAGGAAATGTATATGCATGTCTTAAATATGTTTTAGGCAAGTACAATATTACTTCAGTTGAACAGAGGTCTCCTGTGTGTTGGTGTGGGAGAATCAGTGAGGGTACATCCCATTGACCAAATAAGATCCATATGTCTAGAAAATTAAAAAACAAACCCAAATCCAAAAAAGCAGGATGAGACAGAATGAAGCAAAAGCTCCCGAGTGCCTGGGGAGTTATTCTAGGAATGATCAGTAAGAGCCAGAAACTTAAGGGTGACTTCAAGAAGGGCTTGAGAGCTGACAGATGATTCATTGAGGACAGATAGCAGCCAGAGAGGTGGAAAAGAATGAGATGACTCTCTAGGCTAGAGGGGTCAACAGAAGAAGGGAAGGAACATCTGTTATTGGCTGTCATTACCTTGTTTAGTATTTAGTGAAATTTGATACAATGGCAAAATTAGAAAGAAATGTGATTTTATTGAGTGAAGTTTATAGTTTGTAGAATTATGAGTTGTTTCTAAGAAGTAACTAAAACTTTTACTCTGATTGTATGTAGGTGTAGAATGAGACTAATGTAAGTGGAAGATAGTAAACTGGGCGATTTAGTTATAAAGAAACCCAATGCCATTGCTAGCAAGTTGATTCGGACAAAAAGCAACAGTATAGGACAGACTAGAACCACCCTATGGCGTTTCTAATGGAGCCCTGGTGATGAAGTGGTTACTGTTGGCTGCGATCGGAAAAGTTTTTCTCTTTTGTAATTTAGAGTCATGGCATATATCTTTGTTAATTTCTGTAAAGAGCAAATCACAAGTGTTTACAAACCAATTAAGTGTATTTGACCACTGTAATGTGGTCCACTTGTTTTATGAATAAAAATGGACTAGGTTAAGTTTTAGAAAATCAGTAAATACTATGATAGACTGGTGTTCTACTGACTTTTAAATTTTTCCATGTTCGTCATTCTTTTTTATTTTATTTATTTCTATTTGTCATTCTTTAAAAGCATAATTAGCTAATTTCTTATCCTAAATAAATATTAGCTTTTATAGATACTTTTGTATTTGTAATTTTGTGTTCTTTTTATTTTATTAATGACATTTTATTGTATTTATTTTCAGACAGGAAATTAGGTTCTGTTTGACAATTTCTGTATAAGTTGCTTAGTGACATTAGTTACCAGGATATCTTGTTGAAATGGTAAAAAAATATTATTTATCTAAGAACAAACCAATTTAGAATGAGAGATGCAAACTAGTAAGTCTTACATATAGCTGAATAATTATGGCTCTTATTATAAATTATTGACACTTTTCATATTTACTGAATTATCCAACTTTGTGGAATTATGCTCATTAAAAACCCTCTTTGTTTCTTTTCCCCCAACAGCTTGATAAAGGGAGACACCGCAGCGTCTCTCCCGATCATCAGCTATTCTCTTACCTCATATTCACCTTATATAGCAGAACTTCTACTGGCGTCCAACGTGGAGCTCCTAGCAAAGAATGACCTGCGCTTTATAGATGCAGTCTACAAGGTATTTGGAAAGCATGAAATGAGATTCACTTTAGAAGTTATTGGTTGATGTGTGAAGATTATGTACATGCAACAAATAGAGCTGGCAGTAATTTTGTTATATACAAGGGGTCTTCAAAAAGTTTGTGGAAGATTTCCATTACCTTTTAGTTCCATTTTTCTACCAACAATTTGATGTGGTGCCTTTTAAAATCAAGGTGCATTTCAAATTTGTTTTATAAATGTTTTATAATCTAATATCTATATTAATTTTTAAACATTTGTTATTGGCTATCATTACTTTGTTTTATATCAGATTTTAGTAAATTAGTAAAATTTGGTATAGCAACAGAAATTAGGAAGAAAAATGTGATTTTATTGAGTAAAGTTTATGGTTTGTAGAATTATAAGTTGTTTCTAAGAAGTAGCTAAAACATTTACTGGGATATTATCTTCTTTCAGATTTGAGACCATGTCTTATATTTTATCATATAGATAAGTATATTATCTATATTTATCTTAGTAGATAAATATCTACACAGTCTTAGATACTTAATTTCACATTTGACTTAAATAAATCTACTTTTTAGATTAAAAGATATTTTTAATTATCTACTGATAAATTATTGTTCAAGTATTATGGCTCTATTAAATTGTTCTTTTAATGATGAAACCTGTTCATTGATCAAATCCAAACTTCTAAAAAGGGTGGCGTTACATTAATAAAATGGGAAGTTTTTTTGTTTTGTTTTTTACAGTTCCTGGTTTTTAATCGGGGTTCAGAGGGATCGGTGCTTGTCCAGGGGTACTGTCTCCACGGTTGCCTGTGATGGGCAGCGAGTGGAGGGTGGCTGTCACGCTGTAGGCAGGAGCGCCTCCCTGGGTACTGCACTGGCTCCTGAGTGTTGCTGCCCCAGCCTCGGCTCTCTGCCCATAAAATGGGAACTTTTGTAGAGTCTCTGTTTACTCTTCCTGCTCCTCATTGCCTCTGATCCCCAGAAACCTTTCACTGAAACTTAAAAAGTCACTTCTGAGAAATCCTGGGATTCCACAGAGCCTATTTTGAAAATTACAGTTCTAATCGTTTTCTCTCATTTTACAAATCAGGAACCGAGACTGCCGGGCCATTTGACTTTTCTAAAATATCACATAATGGATGAGTGCTTATGAGGAGAAACTTTTTCGTGATAAACTGCAGTGAAAGCTCTGAGAGCCAACATTGTACTGGGACTCCCATGTTTTTCAGGGCTCCTCAAACTCCCTGTCTTGGCCAGGGTGCAGTCTTAACTACATTTTCGTCACTGCTGGGTCTGTCTTATAAAGGTTCTGAGTCTTTCAGAGTTTGTTGTACCTTTCTCATTGCGTGTAGATAACCGTCTACTCCATGGCAGATCCCTACTAAAGGCAGAACAAATAAACAATCAAAGTCATTGCCATCCCTTCCTGTCTGTGTCTTTGTAGGCCATTGACTTAACGGGTTAGTCCTTCATTTCCTCTCAAGACAGCATTGACCAGGTGGGCGTTATCATTTAGGATTTTAGAAAGAAATTGCACCTAATTATGATATCAATCTATTCCCTCTTCCTAGCTCCTTCGTGATCAATTTAATTACAAGCCAATTTTAACCAAAAAGCAGTTTATCCAATGTGGGTTTGCAGAGTGGAAAATACAGATTATTTGTGATATTTTGAACTGTGTCATGAAAAAGCACAAGGAGCTGAGTGGTCTTGACAAGGTAATTCTATGAATAGATTTTAATACTGACTTATACTAAGTGGCCTACTATGTCGCTGTGTAAACTTAATACCCTACATATACATAAAAATGATGCATATCGTTATTTACAGATTTGGTTAACTTTACAAAGCTTGATGTTTTCATGAAAGATTAGTGCCTTGATGTTATTAGTTCTGAACAGTTGAATCATAATACATATCCATTGCTTCCTAATTTTCTGAAAACGTACAGCTTCATCATTGTCTTATACTTGATAGCCATATTTCACATACAAACACTTAAATGATAGTAGAATTCAATATAATCATGCTTATAAGTTTTGTTATTATGTCTAATAGCTTTTTTTTTTTTAAGATTCCATTGCAACAAAAAAAGAAAGTCAGTTTGGGTAAGCCAGAGACTTTAAATAGTGAGAAAACAGCTACAGAACCTGTTGGCATTGACATCACTGGACGGTTTTTCACTTCAGGAAAGGTATGAAACAAAGACCATAAATCATGTAGCTTAATTAAAAGTAATCTTTTTAATTAATTCTATATACTGCATATACTCGAGTATAAGCTGACCCGAATATCAGCTAAGGCACCTAAGTTACCACAAAGACTCCATTAAAAATGTGCTGGAACTTTAAAAATTCAATGCTACTCCGATTCAAATACCAACAACCTTCTTCAAAGAATTGGAAAAACTGATCACCAATTTCCTATGGAGAGGGAAGAAACCCAGAATTAACAGAGAACTCCTCAAGAAGAAGGACGAAGTTGGAGGACTCGCCTTACCTGATTTCAATGCCTATTACACAGCTACAGTGGTCAAAACAGCATGGTACTGGCACAATGACAGACACTCAGACCAGTGGAAAAGAATAGAAAGCCCAAGAATAAAACCATCAGCATATAGACAACTGATCTTCGACAAGGGTCCCAACACCATCAAGTGGGAAGTGGATGCCCTTTTTAATAAGTGCTGGAAACAATGGATATCCACATGTAGAAAAATGAAACAAGTTGTTTACCTCACTCCATGCACAAGAATAAATTCAAGGTGGATCACAGACCTAGAAGTTAAACCCCAAACCATCAGGACCATCAAGGAGGGACTCAGGACAAACCTGAGAGCCCTGACCCAGGGAACTCATAGGCTCACTGCAATAAGGAAGGGTACACACGCAGGTGAACTGGACATCGACAAGTGGGATTTAATAAGATTAAAGCACCTGTGCACCTCGAAAGCCTTCACCAAGAGGGTGACAAGACAACCCACAGACTGGGCGAAGATTTTTAGTAATGACACATCGGACAAAGGGCTCATTACTAAAACCTATAATACCCTCATAACCTGCAAAAAGAGGAAAACAGTTAACCCCCAATAGAAGTGGGCAAAAGAACTGAAAAGAGCTTTCACTAGGGAGGAGACCCATATGGCCAACAAGCAAATGAGAAAGTGTTCCCGGTCATTAGCCATAAGAGAAATGCAAATTAAAACAACCATGGAGATACCACCTAACACCCCTGAGGCTAGCCCAAATCAGTAAATCAAAGAGCAACAAGTGATGGAGGGCTTGTGGTGAAGTAGGAACCCTCCTCCACTGCTGGTGGTCGTGTAGATTTGTACAGCCACTGTGGAAAGCAATCTGGAGATAACGTATGTCCCAGTCATCCCTCTACTGGACATATACCCAGAGGAGGTAACAAAAAAACATGACCAATCATCTGCGCTCCAAGGTTTATTGCGGCACAATTCACAATCACAAAGACTTGGAAACAGCCTAAGTTTCCATC